GCAAGCACTCAGGCTAAGTGAAGAATCTGTCACATGCAGGAGGTCTTCAGAAAATTCACAGAAAATGGGTTAAGAAAAAACCATGCAGAGATTTCTAAATGCTTGACGCCAAAATAAACTTGAAGTGTTTAAAGTTCCCTCATACATAAAATAGCTCAAGCAGCAGAAGCAGGTGTGACAGTTAAGATGCCACCTGGGATATCCACAGCCCCTCTTTGAGCACCTGGTTCAGGTCCTGTTGATTCCAACTCCCCGCTAATTGCAGCCTTGGAGTGCTTGGGCCCCTGCCGTCCGCATGGGGGACCTGGATGGAGTTCCTGGCTCATGGCTTTGGTCTGGCCCAGTCTGGGCTGTTGTGGTATTTGGAGCGTGAACCAGCAGGTGGAAGATACCTAGCTAGATGAATAGCTATGTATAAGATCAAAAATACTATTTTGCTTTTATTGTTTTTAAAATACTTTTTTTTAAAAAAAGAAAAGATTTATTTATTTATTTGAGAGGTAGAGTTACAGGTAGAGAGAGGGAGAAACAGCAAGGTCTTCCGTCTGCTGGTTCATTCCCCGAATGGCCAAAACGGCCAGAGCTGAGCCGATCTGAAGCCAGGAACCAGGAGCTTCTTCCAGGTCTCCCACGTGGGTGCAGGGGCCCAAACACTTGGGCCATCTTCCACTGTTTTCCTAGGCCATAGAGGAGAGCTGGAGAGGAAGAGAAGCAGCTGGGACTTGAACTGGTGCTCATATGGGATGCAGGTGGAGGCCTAGCCTACTATGCCACAGTGCTGGCCCCACAAATATAGTTCAGTTCCCTGCTAATGGCTTGGGAAAAGCAGTGGAATCTCTCTCTCTCCCCATCTTTCAATTAAATAAATAAATCTTTAAAAATATATATTAATTTACTTATGTTAGTTTGAAAGGTAGAGAGAGATCTTCTATCTGCTGGCTCACTCCCTAAATGCAGCCAGGGCTGGGCCAGGCCAAAGCCAGGAGCCTAGAACTCCAACCAAGGCCCCCACATGGATGACAGGGACCCAGGTGCCTGAGCCACCATTTGCTGTCTCCGAGGCAGGCACCAGCAGGAAGCCGGGTCAGAAGCAGAGTGGTGGGGCGTTGAATACAGGCCCTGTGATGTGGAATGTGGGCATCCCCAGTGATGCTTTAACCACTGTGCCACATGTCTGCCTTGGAAATGCTCTCTTAAATTAAGCCTTGTTACACTATTTAATTTTTAATACTATATAAGTAATATTAGACATTAATTTAAAAAACAAAAAGGTAAAATTTTAATAAAAAGATCTGGATTTATTTGAAAGGCAGAGTCACAGAGAGGGAGAGACAGAGGCAGAGATCTTCCATCTACCTGCTGGTTCACTCCCCAAATGGCGACAATGGCTGGGGTGGGGCCAAGCTGAAGCCAGGAGCCTGGAACTCCCTGTGTCTTTCCTGTGCGTGGCAGGTGTCCGAAGACTCTGGGCGCCACCCAAGGCTTTCCCAGGCACATCAGCGGGAAACTGGATTGGAAGTGCAGCAGCTTGGATCGAACCGGTGTCCACAGGGGTTGCTGGCATTGCAGGCAGCCGCTCAAGCCGCTGTGCCGCAACGCCTGACCCCTGAAGCCACTGTTGACCCTGTGAGAAAGGACTGTGGAGTCCGCTGCTTGCGTGTATTCCGTTTTCCTTTCGGCCTGTGGGTTCCACACAAGCACTGTCTCCCACGCCTGTCATGAGTGTTTCCACGCATTTGTGACAGATGCCCTGTCATGCTCTGTACCCCACAGTCTAAGGCTCCAAAGTTCTGAGCATAATGTGGGTGCTCGCGGGGCTCTGGGAAATGCAAAATGCAAACTTGTTGTAAAAAAGGTAGTATATTCCAAAAAAATACAAATAAAATGCAAGTAAATCTACTACAGAACTACTGCTGGCACTTTGATATCTAACGCTGAGTCCTTGTACTTGGATGATCTTGAATCAACATATTCTAAAATGCTAGGCTCCTCTTAATTGTACTGTCTTGTAACTGGCATTTTCATTTAATTTTTTATGGGCATATGAGGAAATATGTTACATAGCTACAACAAATGGAACAAAATAATTACCCTGGACCAAGTTTTTCTGTGATCTTAGGTCATGTTTTCATGGAACAGAATCAGTGAATGCCAATGAAACCACATGAATCTGATCATGGATTTGCTCTGCTCACAAACCGAGTAGGGGGTAGGTGTTGTGGTGCAGCAGGTTAAGCCTGCTTGGGATGCCTGCATCCCACAGCGGAATCCCAGGTTGGGTCCTGGACTCTCCACTTCCGATCCAGCTTCCCACTGCTGTGCCATGGAGGCAGCAAATGACGGTGGAAGAATGCAGGTTCCTGCCACCCACACAGGAGACCTGGACTTGAGTTTCTGATGCCTAATTTCAGTTTGGACCAGGCCCAGCTGCTGCAGGCCATTTAGGGAATCAAACAGTGGATGGATATTATTGATCTCTGTATCTGCCTTTCAAATAAGTAAACAAACCTTAAAAAAAAAGTGGAACTTTATTTCTTCCCTAGAGAAAATAAGGTTAAGAATAATGTTGATGTTATTACAATTGCTTCCTAATTTTCACTTCTGAATTAATTGCTCATGTCTAGAAATACAAATGGTCTTGGTATTAAAAGAAGAATGTGGCTCATTCTCTATATCGCATCACTATTCAGTGTAAAAATAAACTTTATAATAGGAATTACTTTGCTCTGTCCAGTAAGAGCTCCTTTGGGGGCAGGGGAGAGAATGCTTTCACAGTATACTGGGGCCCAGTTATCTGGACCAGCATCTGTTTCCTCCCAGGGCGCACAACAGCAGGAAGCTGGATGGGAAGCGGAGGATCTGGTACCTCAGTCAGGCACTCTGACGTGAGGTGTGGCTGTCCCAAACCATGACTGAACCACAACGTAGGCCAAAAGCCTGCCCCTTATCCCAAGCCGAAGATCATCTCAAGGTCTTCTAACTTAATAGTCTCTCTGCCGAGGCCAAGAAAACTGATGCCAAACACCCACCCTAATTTATTTCCTGAAATATAAACAGCATGGGAAAAAAAAGAAGCCTGAAAGGCATGCTATACATGAAAGCTAACAGGTGTGTTAATAGTTCAAAAGTGACTTCCTCCATGGCTACACTTGTTTTCAGACCTTGTGTGGATTTCCTCAAAGCATGTCCCACACTTCACTGAGCTGTATGCATTTGCTGGTCTCTGTGGTTCCGTTCAGTAATTACGGAGCCTGTATCACCTGCCAGGTGCCCTTCTAGGCACCCGAGGATTCAGCAGGGAACAAAACAGATGAAGAGTCTATCCCTTTTGACAGGGAAGACAAACACTAGCTGCACCTGAAGAGAAACAAACTTCCAGCGGTAATGCAAACAGAGGCCGACAATGCACACACCTCCACTTTCCAGGGCGACGAAGGAAAGGAGAAAGGGATAGGGACACACAACAGAGGCGACTGTTTTAGCTGGGCCAGGCCCCCAAGAGGGAGCCATCTTTCCGTGGAGACCGGAATGGAGGAAGGGAGCTGGCTATGGAAAGACCTGGTGAACAGTCTCGCCAGAGGAATACTCAATACACGGGCCTTGAGGTGATCTGGAGAGTGGGACAGGCACAAACAGCATATCACTCTACCTATAAAAAAAAGATAAGATGAAAGAAAAGAAAGCAAAAGTGTGACAGTGGGGTGAGCAAGGGGGAGAGCATCAAGGAACGACGCGCAAGTCGGAGGACCCAGAGCAGGGGCAGCCTTCGGCCCATGCGGGGTTCTGGATTTACTCCACGGGGGAAGCAACAGCTCAGGCTCTAGAAAGGGCTCTGATGCATGGCGAACAGATTACGTGAGCAAGTAAAAGAAAGAAAGCAGGAAAACACGGGGAGAGATTACTAGGGGCATCCACGCAAAAACCAACAGCCTGGACCAATCTGGCAGGGCAGGGGTGAAACGAGGTCTGATACGAACACATGTTGATAATCAATCCAATGTAACTTGCTGCTGAATCAGATATGAGGAATGTGGAAGAAGCCATGGACGATCAATTAGGTTCTTGGCCAAAGCAGCTGGGCGACTGTTGGTGCCACTTACTAAACTGCCAACCAATGGTGGAGACCACGGTCATTTTGAGCATGTCACGTCGTCAGGCGGACACTGTATCCATCAGTGAGGTTCAGGTGCGAGTTGGGGCTGACGGTGTGGAACTCAAGGATATCTCCTAGGATATGAGGCAGTGAGAAACCAAGAGGAGGGCTGAAGACATCCTAGGGCCGGCCAACATGCAGAATTTGGTAAGGGGGCAGGGAGAAACCAGTGAGGTGAGGTGCACCAGAAGCCAGCTGTACAGTGGTCCAGCAGGAACAGCGTTCAGCTGATGCTAAGGAGTAAGTTAAGGACTGAGACACATCATTGGCTTTGGCGACTATGTTAATGGTGGCTTCAGGGGAGTGATGGAGAGGAAAAACTGTTGTTCAGGACACACTCAGAAGACAGACAACCTTTCCCCATGAACCACCTTGGGCTCGCAGAGTTGACCGCTACATCCCTAGCACCTTGCTGCCTTCGGGCATCGGGCAGGTGTGAAACGAGTTATTGTGTGCATGTCAGCTGTGACCAGCCCCAGTCCCCCAGTGGTCAAGAGCTCCTGCCGTGCCATTCCATCCCTGTCCTCCATAGTGAGTGAGGATGCACTGCAAGACCCGAGCTAGTTCTTGCCTCCTTCCCCACTGACTGTGTATCTGGGGCCAAGACTGGCAGTTGAGATGAGAAAGGCCTTCCCTTTCTGCTCCCCAGTTTCCCAGAGGTTATGTAGTTAACAGATAAATTATGAACGCGTCACCAAGTGGGCTAACCAAAACACAACACACAACACAACGGTGGGCAAGTCATTTAATCAAAACACCTAATTCTAACCCCTCTGCTTATACATCACTCAGGGATCTTTCCTTTGTGGTGAAAAGGCAACACCCAGGAAAGAGGCAGGCCTCCTACCTGACATGATGTCTTCTGCCAGCTCCTTTTCTTTCTCGATCTTGTCCTCTAGGGTTGAGATGCAGAATTCATAGCCAGCAAGAGCAAATTCCTGTCTGTAAGGCAGAGGTCAACTGTTGGCCATTTCCTTTTTCTCAGACTCCTCTGTTACCCTGGTTTTTCCAACACTGGTCTGCGCATTATCAGGGAAGGCAGTGCAAAATGGACGGAGGGAATTTTGCTTAAAGTCTCTAATGAGCGTGCACCTGTGGCTTCTTAGGGTTAAGTCGTCCACTTGCTATAACATAAAAAGCGGGGAAAGCTGCCCTGACCTTGATAACCGGCAGATCCAGCAGCCTGCACCACCAGGCGGCCTCAAGCGAGTCCTTTCCCTGACGTGCGAGCCCGCAGCTCCGGCCAGCCTGCGCTGACAGCTCCTGCCGGCAGCCCCTTCTGTGCGGCTTCAGTTGCACCACACTTCTTCCAAGCTGCAGGTCTTCGATAAAAAGCTTTCTCTGCACAAATGCAACTCCTAGCCAGAAGGCATTCAAGGGCCCTCAGTGAGCTGGACAGGACCGAGGACAGGCACACTGACTGCTGGGGGAACCTGAAAGTCCCCTCTCCCTCAGGGTGCTCGGCTTTGCTCTTCCATTTGGGTCTCGGTCCAGTGCTTTGCTGGGGGAGAACTGATGACCCCACTGTGCTACCACGTTCCCCTTCTTTCCTCCCACCCAAACTCTGGTAGGAGGGGCCCTTTCAAGACAGGACACACAGGCAGCGGGAGCCCCGTCAGAGCCAGGGGGTCTACAAACAACTCCCCTCTTAACTCCTATCAGCATTTCCAAGCCTCGGGATCTGGCTGTGTCTTGTCTGGTCTCACGTTCCTCTTAATAAAAAAATGAGACAGAAAGCATCTGGCTCAGTGGTTAAGACACTGCTTGGGAGCCCACATCCCGAGTGGGGAATCCTAGTTCCAGCCCTGGCTCTGCTCTGATGGGGCTTCCTGCCAGTGCACATCGTCTCTACGGGATCTACAAGCAATGCCTCCAGGAAGGGGCCACAGGGACACGCCCACAGCAACCCTCTCACCACCTAACTTTGCACCTGACTTCCTCTCTTGCTGACAGTCACCCAGCAGAGTGACTTCTTCAAAAACAAGAGATCTTCATGAAAAAAAGTATTATGAAAAAAACTACACATTGGCCGGCGCCGCGGCTCACTAGGCTAATCCTCCGCCTAGCGGCGCCGGCACACCGGGTTCTAGTCCCGGTTGGGGCGCCAGATTCTGTCCCGGTTGCCCCTCTTCCAGGCCAGCTCTCTGCTGTGGCCAGGGAGTGCAGTGGAGGATGGCCCAGGTGCTTGGGCCCTGCGCCCCATGGGAGACCAGGAAAAGCACCTGGTTCCTGGCTCCTGCCATCGGATCAGCGCGGTGCGGCGGCCATTGGAGGGTGAACCAACGGCAAAGGAAGACCTTTCTCTCTGTCTCTCTCTCTCACTGTCCACTCTGCCTGTCAAAAAAATTAAAAAAAAAAAAATTAAAAAAAAAAAAAGAAAAAAACTACACATGATTTCAAGATAATCTTAGGTTCTGCCTCTAACTTCCCTTCCTGCTGCAAGGACTTGGTTAGCTTTATCATGGGGCAGCCAGAGGCGTGAGGGCTGTGTGCTCCACTCAACAGGCTAATAGAAAACAGCAGAGGCAAAAATAGGAAAAAAACTGAAGACTGCCAAGATGAGGCATGGGGCACGCTGGAACTGACATCCAAGTTTTTGGAGCTCCAGATGCTGTGTAGGCAAATGAAGATTACATAACACCTCAGGGTCAGTCTCCTGCCTGTGGCCCTGCTCCCCCGGCTGCTGCCACACTAAATTCAGGCTCTACTTACTTATTCTGTGCAGCATAGATACTGGCCAGCTTCAGGGAGATTTCAATTATTGCGTTGTCTTCCTGTTGAGAGGAAAAGAAATTAAGGGAATTCATGACAAAAACTCCCTCACAGGGGATGGTCAGTGCTGCAGCTCACTAGGCTAATCCTCTGCCTGCGGCGCCGGCACACCGGGTTCCAGTCCCGGTTGGGGCTCCAGATTCTGTTCCAGTTGCCCCTCTCCCAGGCCAGCTCTCTGCTATGGCCCAGGAATGCAGTGGAGAGTGGCCCAAGTGCTTGGGCCCTGCGCCCACATGGGAGACCAGGAGAAGTACCTGGCTCCTGGCTTCGGATCAGCGCAGTACGCCGGCCGCAGAGGCCATTGGAGGGTGAGCCAACGGTAAAGGAAGACCTTTCTCTCTGTCTCTCTCTGTCTACTCTGCCTGCCAAAACAAAAACAAAAACAAAACAAACAAACAAAAAACACAACTCCCTCACGGGCTATTTCAGATCAACTCCTAGCCTGACTTCGACCTCAAAGCCATATTCTGTTCTTTTAGAGGAATTCCCTAACTGAATTCCTGAACAACTGTGCTCATGTACTAGGGAAAGACTGGTAGCTTTTATACATGCAGGGGGAAAAATAAATCCACCTTTGCTGGCCAAAGTGTGTGCTGAGAGCTGAGAGTTTTCTAGAAGCAAGACTACTTTGAAAACCGCTCAGTGAAGAGCCAATACGAGGTAACGTTCTTACCTGCTTCATGCCCCCTCCAAGCAGGTAGCTCATTGTTGCTTTAAAAAGCTGTTCCGCCTAAAAGCACAAGGAAAAGATTTTTTTTTTACTTGGCCTCTACTACCTGCATAACCTGGGAGTCTAGGTCCCAGTCAGGTGCGCATCCCTTAAGACATGGACATACACTGACACACAGAGAGAAGCGTCCCCATGAAAGGAAAACAGACCAAAATTCCAGGACCCTACGTGCTCCATGCACCTTAAACTTCCCTATGACGACTCAAGGCCAGCTTCAGGGATGCACCTCTCATCTAACCTACTGCAGCATCAGTCTCTGAACAGTGACTCTTGTCTTTTTAACGCAGAGAATCCCCTCAATTTTTAGCAGATCGCTCTCCCTTGCAGGTAGGTGTGGTCAAATGATGAAGTTTCCGCCATGAGATAGACACACAAAGAATGTGGACAACTTCTAAATCATTTCTCAAGGGACAGCTGCTGGCCCTCTTTCCTGGCTCCCTTCCTCCTGGCTGGTGGTGACCACCTCACCTACACAGATGAGGATATATCTCAGAAGCGACCTGAGAGCCTTCAGGGCTTGGCCTACCTCTGGACTGCTGCATTATAAAGAAATACACCTTCATTCTACTCGGGTCCCTGTATTTTGTGGCCTCACTGTTCCAGCAGCTTAGCCTACAGCCCTTCAACCACAGTTCCCTTGAGGCCAGTCCTGCACAGATTCAACATGTTGTCACAAAGTGATTTACTTACGTTTTCAAGTTGACCCCGAATAAATGCTAAGTTGGCCATCTGAAAGCAAATTACAAATTGTTTTTCAGTTGAGAACACTGTGTTCTTACTTAATTGCAAAGCCATTAAGTAAAAGGTTTTCACTCTCTACATCAGGGGTGGGGATCGTCCGTGAAATCATATGGCAACTGCAGGCAGGCCTCAGAACTCAATAAATCTATAGCAGGCTCATTTTTAAGTTGTTAATTTTGTATGGCCTGGGGAATGTTATAAATATCCAATGGCCCCTGGAACAAAAAAGGTTCCCCACCCCTGCTCGGAATAAATAAAATATGTCACCAATTAATCAGCCAGAAGCACAGTACAGCAATGGCTGTAGCACAGTGGGTAAAGCCACTTTCTGCAGTGCCGGCTTCCCATATGGGCACCGGTTCGAGTCCCGGCTGCTCCACTTCTGATCCAGCTCTCTGCTATGGCCTGGGAAGGTAGTAGACGATGGCCCAAGTCTTTGGGCTCCTGCACCCACAAGGGAGACCTGGAAGAAGCTCCTGGCTCCTGGCTTCACATAGGCGCAGCTCTGGCTGTTGCAGCCAATTGGGAAGTAAACCAGCGGGTGTAAGACCTCTCTCTCTGCCTCTGTTTCTCTGTGTAAGTGTGAGTTTCAAGTAAAATAAATAAATCTTAAAAAAAAAAAAAAAGTGAATTCTGGGGTGGACGTTGTGGGGCAGCAGGTTAAGCCACCAACTTGTGAAGCCAGCCTCCCGTACCAGAGTGCCAGTTAAGAGTCCTGGCTGCTCCGCTTCCAATCCAGCTGCCTGCTAATGTGCCTGGGAAAGCGGTGGAAGATGGGCCAAGCCCTTGGGCTGCTGCCACCATGTGGGAGACCCGGATAGGAGTTCCGGGCTTCTGGCTTCAGCCATTTGGGAGTGAACCAGCAGATGGAAGATCTCTGTCCCTCCCTCTTCACTTTGCCTTTCAAATACATAAATCCTTTTTTTTTTTTTTTTTTTTAACAGGCAGAGTGGACAGTGAGATAGAGAGACAAAGAGAAAGGTCTTCCTTTGCCGTTGGTTCACCCTCCAATGGCCGCCGCGGCCGGTGCACCGTGCTGATCCGATGGCAGGAGCCAGGTACTTCTCCTGGTCTCCCATGGGGTGCAGGGCCCAAGTACTTCGGCCATCCTCCACTGCACTCCCTGGCCACAGCAGGGAGCTGGCCTGGAAGAGGGGCAACCGGGACAGAATTCGGCACCCCGACCAGGACTAGAACCCGGTGTGCCGGCGCCGCAAGGCAGAGGATTAGCCTAGTGAGCCGCGGCACCGGCCCTCCTTTTTATTTTTTTTAAAGTGAGTACTTTGTTGCATATATTTTGCTGATAACCAAATCTAAGTCCATCCAGGACGGAAGAAACAAATGATAATGATATCTGTTTCTTTTTTGGTCTGGAATTGAGATATCTTATAAGTAACAATATAGCATCTTTTTAAAACAAACCACATGAAAAACTTAGTTGAAAAAAATAAATGAGCTTTAGGACATCTTGCAGGTCAGCAACATAAACCCAGAACAACCCTTCCCTTTCATCCACTTTGCACATCAGCAGCTGGGACTGGACACAAAGTTACCAGGTCGTAAGTGTAAGTGATGGCCTTCTTGTTATCGCTCTGATAGGCGAGGCGAAGAGCATCGTGCAGCATCTTCTCGGCCTCTTCTGGCTCATCCTTCATGATACTCAGCTGCAGACAGGAGATAAAATAAATAAATACATAAAATAACAGCGAAATCCAAAGAGAGCAGACGCCGGAGCTACCAGACAGAGGCGGACACGCAGCGTTTCCCAATACGCAGAAGCGAGCCGTCTGTCTGTTCACCAGGTACGTACTGAATTCCTACAGGCACCACGCGTTGCGTCTGCGGAGGGGACGGGCAGGTGGGCCTCCTGCGTGGCTAGGGTGGCCACACGACAACGTTTTGGGCAACAGATGAGAGGGAAAGGAGTGATGGGGGGGGGGGTTCTCCTCTAATGGGAGTCAGGGACGCTTTCTAAGGAAGCGACAGCTAACTGAGCTAAGATGGATGAGTCAACCAAACAAAGAACTGGGGGGAAGAAGGACCCACGGAGAAACGAGAGAGCAGCACAGCACGGCCCCTCTGGGCTGGAGAGGATGGTTCTGGGGAAGGGAGACAGAGGGCTACTGCCCCACGGGTGGGCAAGGTGGGAGGCTTGGCTCACATAGGGTCTTAGGGGCCACTGCGAGGTGACTGGACTTTCTCATGAACGCAGTGGGATGCCACTCAGGTTTTCAGGCAGGAAGGTAACACCCAATTGACGTAAATATGCTAAGAAATCTTTCTGTCTACTGGAGACTGGATGGCGGGAGCCAGGGTTGGTGACAACCAGGGCGAGAGCGAGGAGGGCAGATGGCAGAACAATTTCATTTTGGATTTGGGGGCTGCACTGTTGAGTGTACTGGGAGGCAACACACAAGGTACACTGAGGTTTCTAAGCTGAGATACTGAAGGTAGTAAGGGCGGTGGAAGCAGGTGTCGGGGTGGCACCTGGGGTCCAGAGTTCAGCCTGGAGGAGACAGCAGGTGGGTAACACACAGAGTGCACGGTGTTGGCACTGAGCTGGAATCCAGCCCAAGAAAGAGAACAGATAACCGGGGTGTGTGTCGGGGGAGCAGAGGGCACGGAGGAAAAGGAGGAATGTACAGAAAGAAGAGGATCAGACTTCGGATCCTACCCGGCCCGTCTACAGGGCGCTACAGTATAACCGGAGCTCCCGAACACTGTGGACGGCGTGCGTGGACGGAGACACGCCCGGTGGGGGACGCCATCCTCCGCTGTCCGCACCTGGACGGATTCCCACCCCCCCACCACCCGCGCCCAGCCCCGTCCGATCCCCGGGCCTCCCTCCGCCCTCGCGCAGAGCGCAAGGTGCACCCCGCTCGCCCGCGCTCCCGGCCCGGCCCGGCCTCACCTTGGCCCGCTTCAGCAGCCGGATGATCTCGGCCTCGGCCTCGTCCGCCGCGTCCTCGGCGGCGGCCGCGCCGTCCGCTCCCCGCTGCTGCTGCTCCTGCTCCTCCGGCTCGGAGGACCTCGAGAACCAGGACAGCGCTGCGGGAAGGGGCTCTGAGGTCAGCGGGCCCGGCCCGCGCCCCTGTCCCCGCCCGGCCGGCCCCGCCCGGCCCGCGCCCCTCACCTGCCAGCAGCGGCAGCAGGCCCGGGCCCCCGCCGTGCGGCGGCGCGGCTCGGGAGGGCGCCGCCGGAACGCCGGGCCCCGCGCCTCCTGCGGGCCCCGGGAGCAGGCGAGGGAAGCCGGCGCGGCACCGCCGCCCCGCGGCCCGCAGGAGGCCTCGGCCCAGCGTCCGGCTGAGGAGCCGGTACATGCTCCCGCCGCGTCCTCTGCGCACTGCAGGCCCGGCGGCCCCGGACGCCCCGCCCCCTGCGCCGAACCCTCGCCGGATTGGCCGGGCCGTGACGTGACGGGCGTGAGGGCGTCCTCGGGGCTGTCCGCATGCGCGGTGACGCACGCCGACGTCACTTCGCCGGGCGCTTCCCCCTCATTCCCCAGCTCTCGCCCCTCCTCGGTGGCGGGAATTTTGTCGTGGGCGCTGGTCCGAGGGAGGCGCAAACCCTCCAGGCCATGGCTGTCGCGTTGCCTGGCGTCGTGGAGGAGCTCCTGAGCGAGATGGCCGCGGCCGTGCGGGAGAGCGCGCGAAGTACGGGCCGGAGGGCGTGTGTGGCGGCTTCGCGGGCCGCGGGCGGGACACAGTGCGGGGCTGGGAGGCGGGCGACGGGGCCGGGGGGTCCCTGGGCCGGGGGGTCCCTGGGCCGGGGGGGTCCCGGGGCCGGGGGGTCCCTGGGCCGGGGGCTGGGACGGACAGAAGCTTAAGGACGCGTTATGGAAAGATGAGTATCTTGAGTTCCTAAGTTGACCACGTTTGCCTTTGCTGTCAAGTTCTGATGGCGAGTTTAATCAATCATGGGTTCAAAAAATAAAGTATTTTTCGGGCCACGGTGGACGGAACGCGCAGGCAGCTGCTGGCGTCCGCGATGCTGTGCAGCGCCTTTCCTTGTCTGGCCAGCAGAGGGCGCTCTGCACCCGCTCACCGGCGTCCCCGCGTCTTCTAAGATGATGCCAATCGGTCACCTACACACGCGGGCTTTTGTTCACAGAAGCTGTGCACTTGGGGAGGGGTTTGAGTTACTGTGTCTTCTTAAAGGACTGAGGGAAGTAAGGCAACTTTTGGTCTTTGCAGTCCAAAGTAACACGCTTCAAAGATGACGCCAGCTGGGTACAGACCTCTGGGTGGGTGGGGGGAAAACACGGTTGTGAGCGCCTAGCAGTGACTCTAAGATTTGGTGGCCTGGGGCGTTTGGAATGCTTTGGCTTCACGAGCCTTGCCTTGTCACGAGGGAGTAATCCGTGCGCTGACCGCCGTGGGGGCCCGATAGGTAGGTACGAGTGACACAGCCGTGACTCAGACACGCAGCCGCTGCCTTTGATGCGAGTTTATTTTCGGCAGGACTCTTCTGCGCACTTCAGGATCTTTGTGCAACCCCGGGCTAAGCCACATTCTTCCGTGGTAGCTGTTTTTAGTGCGGGTTTCCAAGTTTACATTTTGTGTGTGATGATGTCCAAGCTAGTCACAGATGAGCAATGTGGGAAAGTAGGATGGACTTCTCCTTTCTTGTGTAACTTCTTAGTGTCCCCTGGAGTTGTAACTGTCCTGGCTTATGTGTGCTTTCCAATGTTCCCAGACTTAGCCCTAATTCAGTATCAGCCTCTTTTTTTTTTTTTTAAGATTTATTTATTTATTTGAAAGAGTTACACAGAGAGCGAGCGAGTGAGAGGTCTTCCATATGCTGGTTCACTCCCCAATTGGCAGCCAACGGCTAGAGCTGAGCTGATTTAAAGCCAGGAGCCAGGAGCTTCCTCCCAGCCTCCCACGTGGGAGCACAGGCCCAAGCACTTGGGCCATCTTCCACTGCTTTCCCAGGCCATAGCAGAGAGCTGGATGGGAAGTGGAGCAGCCGGGACTCGAACCGGCGTCCATATGGGATGCCGGCACTGCAGGCCGTGGCTTCACCCGCCACGCCACAGCGCTGGCCCCCAGCCTCAGCCTCTTCACAAATGCTCTAAGTCTCTGCTCAAGATGTTCACACAAATGAAGTGTGTGTGTGTGTGTGTGTGTGTGTTTATCAATTTCATTTTCCTCTTCTGACTGCCTCCTAGGGACTGTCTGATCGGTTGGCTTCTCCTTTCACTGTTACTACTGTGGGAATTCTCAAGCTGTTTGGGGCCTGTTTCGTGGTTTCCTACTTTAACGAATGGCATGCACGGCTCTAGTAGCTTTCTGAACAAGAGGGCGTAAGATGTACTGTTTCAGAGTTCACATGCCTGCAAAGTTCCTTTTCTGCCCTCACACTTAATTGATGCTTCGACCAGGTATTAAATTGTATGTTGGAAATCCTTCTCCAGCTGTCTGACAGCACCGCCCCACGACCTCTGGTTTCCAGTGTTACTCCTGATTTTCTTATGTGAACTGTATTATTCTCTGGAAGTTTGAGCTACAGTCATCCTCTAGTTTCTGTGGGGGATTGGTCCCAGAACTTCCGCTGGCAAAGGTTAATCTGCATACATCCTTCCATGCGTTTTAAATCATCCCTAGATTACTTACAACACCCAGTGTAATCTAAATGCGATGCCAACAGAGTGTTTTACTCCATTGTTTAACGAATGACAAGGGGGAAAAAAAAGTTCGGACATATTTAGTGCAGGTGTGATTTTTTTTTTTTTTTTTTTCAAATAGTTTCCATCGGTAGTTCATTGAATCAACATATGTGAAACCCATGGGTGTGGAGGGCGGGCTATATAACCCAGCATTGCAAATTTTCTGATTGTTTCATTCTGTTCTTTCACTCCACCAAGTGGGCATGCAGCGGACCCTCTCATGTCCTGAAGTTCTGGGAAGTGTTCTTGAATTCTTTCACGGATGAATTCCCCCTGTCTGTTTCTGAGTGTCTTCTATTTGTCCTACCGAATGACATGACACCCCTGTTTCATCTTGCTCTCTCGACTTCCTGGAAATTTTCTTCCATTTTGCCTTCTAGATTTTTCTGTTGTTTTTTTTTTTTTTTTAAATTTCTGCTGTCATGTTTTTAAATTGACAGCTTTTATTCCTGAAGGCTCCTTTACTGACTTGTTTTTTTTCTCCGATGATATTAATGGCACATGTATGAAATTCTCTCATCTGCAGTTCTCCCTCTGATTAGCGGTCTTCTGTTTGCTGGGTCCTGTCTTTTGTTGTCTCACAGTCCTTACTGTCCAGTCATGTTTCGGAGTGGAATACTAAAGAATGGGAACTTGGGGCCGGTGCTGTGGCATAGCGGGTAAAGCTGCCGCCTGCAGTGCCGGCATCCCATATGGGCACTGGTTCGAGTCCAGGCTCCTCCACGTCCGATCCAGCTCTCTGCTGTGGCCTTGGAAAGCAGTGGAAGATGGCCTAAGTCCTTGGGCCCCTGCACGTGGGAGACCCGGAAGAAGCTCCTAGCTCCTGGCTTCAGATCGGTGCAGCTCCAGCTGTTGCGGCCAATTGGGGAGTGAACCAGCAGATGAAAGACCTCTCTCTCTCTCCCTCTTCTCTCTCTGTAACTCTTTCATATAAATAATAAAATCTTAAAAAGATGGGAAGTTAGGTGGCAGACACCTAGCTGGCGGAGTTACCCTCACTGTGGTTGCTCTGACCAAGCTGTGTAGTTGGGGCAACCCTTCCAGGGTGCTTCCTCTTGGGTTGCTCAGATTCCGCAGTGACGACTTTCAGTCTCCGTCTTAGAGGGTGAAGGCCTGATTCCTTGTATTACAGGAGCTGCGTTGGGGAAGGGAGCAGGAGGCCCCTTCCCCACTTTCCAGTGTGATACTTACATCCTCTGTGCCTGTTTCCCCTAGTCCAGATACCTGTGTTTGAAACTCTGTAGCTTAGTCTTTTGCCGGAGAGAAGGAGAGGCAGTAGAGCTAAAGGGGAACTGGGGTCCCACAGCTTCCTAAACTTATTTCCACAGAGTCTTACCTTAGTGTCCTTGCTCTGTCCCACCCCAAGACCTATCTTGGTACCACCAATTTGTGAGAGTGTTTTGGGGGTGGATGGGAAGGGGCAGTAACTCTGGAGTGTGAATCAGGTACTTGACTCCCACTGCTGGCCTAGGATGCTGTCTTCTCAAGGCTTGTAAACTAGCTTTTACACTTCTGTCAGCGTTCACTGTATCTTAACGATTATTTCTCTTTCTCATCCTTAGGAGGTTATGCTTTTTTAAGAAAAATCCTTTAATTATTGTTTCGTAGTGTTTGGAAAAAGAATAGAATTAGATGCATAGGCTCAGTTCAACCCCTCTCCGGAAGTCTTTCAGGCTATTATGCTTTTTAATATTTCTCTTTATGGTCACCAGTTTAACCTAATTACTTTTTTTTCCCATTCCTGTTTTATAGTTCCTGATGAACATCTTTTATCGTAAGTACAGATCCTATTGTGTTTGAATTTTTTTTTTAACCATTAATGTATTGGGTCATTTTTAAAAGATGCATCTGTTTGCTTGTTTGTTTATTTGAAAGGCAAACAGAAAGAGCGGGAAAGACAGAGAAAGAGAGGCCATCCATCTGCTGGCTTACTCCCCAAATGCCTGCAACAGCTGAGGCTAAGCCAGTCTGAAACAGGAGCCAGGAACTCTATCCGGGTCTCCTCTGTGGGTGCCAGCGACTGAAGTATTTGAACCTCATCTGCTGCCTCCCAAGCCCATTAGCAGGAAGCGGGATCAGAAGTGGAATGGGCGGGACTCCAACCAGGCACACAGATGCTGGATTAACCACTACACCAAACTCCCACCTCCAGTGACTACTTTACAAACAAAGTGGGTTGGGCCTGGCGCCGTGGCTCATTTGGCTAATCCTCCACCTGCAGCGCCGGCATCCCATATGGGCTCTGGTTCTAGTCCCGGTTACTCCTCTTCCAGTCCAGCTCTGTGCTGTGGCCCGGGAGGGCAGCGGAGGATGGCCCAAGTGCTGGGGCCTTCCCCAGCATGGGAGACCGGGAGGAATCACCTGGCTCCTGGCTTCGGATTGACGCAGCACCAGCTGCAGCAGCCACTTTGGGGGTGAACCAACAGAAGGAAGACTTTCTCTTTCTCTCTCTCACTGTCTGTAACTCTGTCAAATAAATAAATTTTAAAAATATGTTTTAAAAAAATGGGTAAATAGTGGAAACATGCAGAAAGCAAAAATTTGGGAGAATGATAATTTTGACTCATGACTATAAGAATACAAATTAATAATAAGAATGTTTCATCTATAAAACCAGCAAACACAGGAAAGGTGTTGGCAAGAATATTGGGAAAGAGACAACTGATACCTAACTGGTAGGAATGTAAATTCAAAGGCAATCAGATAATAGGAGCTTTGGGAGTGGTCATATATATTCATAGGGATTTTACAGTGAGCATTTTCATCCAGTATTACCTATGATAGCCACAAAACAAAACAAAAAAAATCTAGAAACAAACTATTCCAAAATAATAGTGTTTGGAGAGAATAAAAGTGATTCATCTTCACACCATTCTGTATTTCATGCATTGAAGAGGTGTTCACAATAGGTTGTAAAGAACATAAAAAGTGAAAAAGATTCTTAGTTATGGGAGCAGCACTGTGGCTTAGGAGTTAAGCCACCACTTGTGACATCCATATAAGTGCTTGTTCAAGTCCTGGCTACTCCACTGCCAATCCAGCTCCCTGCTAATGTGTCTGGAAAAGCAGCAGAAAATGGCCTAAGTGTTTGGGCCCCTGCACTCAAGTGGGAGACCAGGAAGAAGCTCCCAGCTCCTGGCTTCAGCCTGGCCCAGCCCCAGCTGTTGTGGTCACCTGGGGAATGAACCAGTGGACAGAAGATTTCTCTTAGGGTAACTATGCCTTTCAAATAAATAAACAAAAATTTTAAAAAAGGAAATTCTTAGTTAACTGTTATTATCTCTGATTGGTAAGACTGTCACCCAATTTTATTTCTTTAGTTCTTTGTAGACTGACTATAAAAATTTCAAAGGTGTTCTTTCCCATTCCTTCAGTAGTTTATCGCACACAAGTTTGTTGGGAAATGAAGTTATTGAGCCGGCGCCGTGGCTCAATAGGCTAATCCTCCACCTTGCGGCGCCGGCACACCGGGTTCTAGTCCCGGTTGGGGCGCCGGATTCTGTCCCGGTTGCCCCTCTTCCAGGCCAGCTCTCTGCTATGGCCAGGGAGTGCAGTGGAGGATGGCCCAGGTGCTTGGGCCCTGCACCCCATGGGAGACCAGGAAAAGCACCTGGCTCCTGGCTCCTGCCAGGATCAGCGCGGTGCGCCGGCTGCAGCGGCGGCCATTGGAGGGTGAACCAACGGCAAAGGAAGACCTTTCTCTCTGTCTCTCTCTCACTATCCACTCTGCCTGTCCAAAAAAAAAAAAAAAAAAAAATGAAGTTATTAAGTTGAACATTTTGAAAGCCTTACTAGTGGCTATCTTCTTAATCTATGTCAAGCCACATGAGTTCTTTAAAACATCAGCTTTTTGGTTTTAGCTCAGTCTAGTTAGCTGCTTTTCAGTTTATAAAAATAACATTTATTCATTTAAAAAAAAAAAACAAAAACCTTTGTTGCTTGGGGGCCGGTGCTGTGGCACAGTGGGTTAAAGCCATGGCCTGTGGTGCTGCCATCCCATGTGGGCGCTGGTTCAAGTCTCAGCTGCTCCACTTCCAATCCAGTTCCCTGCTAATGCACCTGGGAAAGCAGCAGAAGATGACCCAAGTGCTTGGACCCCTGCACCCATGTAGGACACTCAGAAGAAGCTCCTGGCTCTTGGGAATGAACCAACAGATGGAAGATCTCTCTCCTTCTCTCACTCTACCTTAAAATAAATAAATAAATCTTTAAAAAACTTTCTTGAAAAATAAAAACAATGCATCAACAATCATAGCACCTAGTCCTAATCGGTCTTAAATTTGCTTTGGTGCTTTCTTCTCTTTTAAACTTAATTTTGAATTAATTGTAGACTTTCTTAAAAAAACTAACATGATTGGTAGTTGCTAAGTGTATAATTATACCCCCAACCTTTCTCATCTAACATTGTATCATAAGAATTTTCCCATATACCAGTTTTTTTCCCTGAAATAACTTCACAGCTGGATGTCCTTATTACTAATCAAAAAGTACAAATTTAACATCCAGACATGAAAATCTCCGAGTAATACTGTACTGGTGAGGACATGGAGAAAACCTAACTTGTGCAGTGCTGGTGGAATGCCACTTCCACTTTAGAAAGCTGTTGCCAGCACTTATTAAAGGTGACAAATGTGCATTTCTAACACTAAGCACTTATTTTAGTTAGAAAACCAAGATTTTTCATATATGTGTAGCAGGGGACACGTACAGTGATAACTGAGCATTAGTTATAATAGTATAAAATGGAAACAGTTGGAATGTCTATCAAGAGGTGCTTAATGAATAAAACTGTACATATAATGGGCTATTATTCAGAAATATATACAACAACATGCATTGTCTTTTTTTTTTTTTTTTTAAGATTTATTTATTTAGTTGAAGGGCAGAGTTTGAGAGAAGGAGAGAGAGTTCTCCTTCTTTCCGGTAGTGAGTTTGCTGCACTTTCTGGCCCCCCTCTAGATTCTGACCTCCGTTTCCCCACCAATGTCTCGGGTTATTGAGCTCACCTCCCCTTCCAGCGCTGATGTGTGGACTCGGAGCCCTGGACGTCCCAAATCTCCCCGCTGTTGTCTGTGTGGCATGCACTCCCCTTCGAGCACTGGCGCGCAGACCCTGCGGCTTCCGCGGCTCGGCTTCCACGCGGTGGGCGACCTTGTTCTCCCAGTAGGTCCTCCGATTCACAGCCACTCGATCCAGAAGGGTTTCCTCTGCAATATTTTCCTGGTTCTTTTTTCTGAGGCTACCGTAACTCCCCTTTTATTAAACTAAATTTTCCCGGACTATCGGTGCGCGCCCTCACTATTCCGCCATCTTGGCTCCGCCCCCGAGAGTTCTCCCATCCACTGGTTCACTCCCCAAATGGCCAGGGCTGGGCCAGGCTAAAGTCAGGAGCCAGGAACATCATCCAGGTGTCCCACATGGGTGCAGGGACCCAAGCACTTGGGCCACCTTCAACTGCTTTCCTAGGCCAATAGTAGGGAGCTGGATTTTAAGTGGAGCAGCCAGAACTCAAACCGGCCCCCATATGGGATGCTGACACTGCAGGCAATGGCTTTACCTGCTATGCCACAGCACTGGCCCACGCATCATCTTAAAACATACACTGAATTAAAAAAAAATGCAAATTGCTGAAAGAAGACTACAATATACTTTGTATTCAAAATTTATAAAATTTCATGTGTGTGTATAAGGAGACTTCAAAAAGTTTGTGGAAAATGAAATTAAAACATACTGTTTTAGGGGTATGCATTTGGCCTAGCAGTTAAAACACATGCCATATCGGAGTGCCTGGGTCAATTCCTGGCTCTGCCTCCAGACTCCAGTTCCTGCCAACAGATCCTGGGAGGTAGCAGGTAATGATGGGTCAAGTAATTGCGTTCCTGCCACACACATGAGACCTGAACTTGGCCCCAGCCATTGTGGGCACTGGGAATGAACCAGCAGCGATGGTGGTTCTCTCACCCTCTTCCTACCTCTCAAATACTTTTTTTTTTTTAGAGATAGTGCACATTTTCCTCAAACTTTTTGAAGTCACATCATATATGCATATACATGCACATACATACAAATGCAGATGTTCTGTGCATGTTGAAATATAAGAACATTAACCAGAAGGAAACCAACAAATGCATGTGGTTGCCTCAGGGAAAAAGGAAAGCCAGGAGAAATACACTACAAAGAAGTATGAAGAGGACCTTACCTTGAATAGTTTATTCCTTTTATTTAAAAGGGTAAGATCTGAAGTAAATGAACAAGTTGTTAACATTTATTAATTCTGGGGAGTGAGTCTTTAGTTTTTGCTTCATTATTTATTTTGTTTCCAATTTAAAATTATTATTTTTTAAAGATTTATTTATTTATTTGAAAGTCAGAGTTACACAGAGAGAGGAGAGACAGAGAGGTCTTCCATCTGCTGGTTCACTCCCCAGTTGGCGCAACAGGCGGAGCTGTGCCAATATGAAGCCAGGAGCCAGGAGCTTCTTCCGGGTCTCCCACATGGGTGCAGGGGCCCAAGGACTTGGGCCATCTTCTACTGCTTTCCCAAGCCATAGCAGATAGCTGGATTGGAAATGGAGCAGCCTGGACTCGAACCAGCGCCCATATGGGATGCCAGCACTTCAGGCCAGGGCTTTAACCTGCTGCGCTGCAGCGCCGGCCCCTTAAAATTATTTTTTTAAAAGCCACTGAGAATGGTTACCTTTTGGGTTGTGTTACTAAGGTGACCTTGAGAACCAGGCGTTCTGAATTAGCCTTTCCTTTTACCAGGCTGAAGTTTATCTTTGGTGCATCAGCAGTGCAGGCTTTGGACCTGGTGGATCGACATTCCGTCACCTTAATCTCGTCACCCAGTGGAAGGCGTGCTTACCAGGTAGGCGTCTAGAAGTGGGCTGATTCAACAGAATGTTCCCATGACCTCTACGGCAGCTGGTGACCAGCTATAAACAGGTCCTGGACTATGGACAAGCTTTTTACCCAGCATAGTAAAGTTCACTTACTGCTCTTGTTTTAAATTTACAAGTGTGTATATTAATGGTATACCACATATTTTGATATATGTATACCTTGTAGAATGACTAAATGAAGCTAATTAATATCCATTACCTCACATACCAGTGAGAACACTTAAGTTCTTAGAAATTTTCAAGTACGTACCACACTGTTAATGACCGTAGTTGCCATGGAGGTGCATCTGTAGGTCTCCTGAGCTCCGCATTTCCTGCTAACTGAAATCCCTCCCCCTGACTGACTCTCCCCATTCTCCCCCAGCCCGTGGTAAACGTATTTTGCTTCTGTGAGTTGAGCTTCTTCAGGTGCCACACGTAAGTGGTGGAAGTCAGTGGTCTAACGTCTTAATGGAGTGTGGTCTACTTTTCCTTTCCTGTTTGGTGGCTGTGGCACAGACCCCCACCCCAACTCTCCGCCCAGCCCCAGATTTGACATTTTCACCCGGTTCTGTCTCTCTTGCTTACAACAAAAGCCAGAATGCGTTTTGAGATCCTTCCCCATGCTCAGATTCACCTCTCAGAAAGGATCTTTCCAAACGGTTGCCAGGAAGTACTAACAGGAATCAAACTGCTGGACTCAGGCCAGTTCCTGGAGTCTCACTCTTGCCCTCTTGGGACTTGGCAATAGAAGCAGGTGGATCTGTGAAGTAAATAGTTTCTTACCGGACTCTGAATTCCTTTTGTGTCTGACCAGAAACCCAGCAAAGCATTTATTTTGTAGGGAACTGAAATGCAGAAACGTAAAATCAGCAGTCCCATCTGGCTCCTCACACAGCCGCTTTGTGTCATCTGAGCCTTGAATGAAGACTGTGTCTAAACAGTGGCCAGCTCTGGCCGCCCGCGCCTGCTGAGCCACAGGAGACAGTAAGCGCAGCTGGGCTGGAGGGAAGGGACTGCTCATGAACTGAACCAGGAAACCATTGGCAGGAGTGGCTAGCGCTTGTGTCTCGCGTGGAAGCTAAAAGAATCATCCGTCAGCTCTTGTGTGGAATCCAGGCCTTGCTGAAAGGAGATTTTTCCGTGTCTGGATTCTGCTTTATCTACAGTGAACCTGTCAGGGCTGGGGCCGTGCGAATTACTTCTTAGGCAGTGAATGGCTTCAGCGGAACTTGGGCAATCAGATGCCTTTGCTTCTTGAATGGACTTGCCCTCCCGCATTGCTGCCCAACTTCATTGACCGGCGAAGTCTTCATGCATTTCTTCATTAAGGAGAATGGAGTAATGAGTGTCGGTGCTGCAGTTAAAACTCACAGATGGCATTTTCCTGTCAAGAGAGACCCACCCACCACTTAGAGATTAGTAATGGAGTCATAACTTATCGTTTAGACCTGGGCGGGTGTTTGTCTTCTTTCCTGCTGTCTTGATTTTTACGTAGCTAAAATGCCCGAAACTACAGGGGCCTTCAGATTTTCCCTGTGGCTTTAGTCTTGAGTTCTTGGGCTCTTAACGTAAACACTTGACCTGGGCAAGCAGACATCTAGTTGCTCTCTAGCTCCGTGGTCTAGCTTTTAGTTAAAATTTCAAAAACCTTGTTTGGAATATTTTAATTATTGTTGACTTTTGTTCCCATCGGCGGTCCCTGTGACTTGTTTTTGTCGTGGGCATCCTGTATTACATTACATTGCTTTATTAGTCATAAAATGCTAACTGCCTAGAGTTGTGGCCGTCCGTTTGGACTTTGAGTTAAAATGAGACTGTTGAAACCTTACACACCCTCAAATTAACCTTAATGGTTGCATTGTACAGTAATTTAGTAAGAACCTGGCTGGATTCTGGGACACTGGCTGGATACGCTAGTGTGTCCATGGATCTGTCTACCCCATAGGTCAGCCCCAGCATTCCTGCTGTCTTTCAGAGACGACACATACTTAGTCTACAGCCACCGTGACGGTGCCGTCCCCGGAGTCCCTTTCTGTCATCTTTTCAGGTTCATGGAGGGGAGGGGGCGCCTCAGTCAGGAGAGGCTAGGCCGGGGGGGAAAGGCTGACAGAAACAGGCTGCACGTCTCTCCTGCGCGGTCACCAGGAGGCAGCTGCCGCCCCGCCCGGAACGCCTGCGCTCAGGGGCCCACCTGCGCAGCAGCCTGAGACGGGGCAGACCTCCCCGCACAGGACAGGGCTCCACGCCTGCTCATTTTGATCATCTCTGCCTCGCTACTCACATCTGCTGGCCAACACAGCCCGCGGCCAGCCCGTGTTTCCCTAGACCAGGAAGGCAGAGGCGGGCGCCTAACATGGGCAGTGACAGATAGCACAGCGCACTGCTGCCAGGTATCTTACAAGGCTTGGCGCGGTCAGAGAACAAAGCCATATCCCAGAAGGGACGATCGTCCAGGCGCGGGACGTCCTGGGAACCCGACTGCTCCCAGGGAGGACCTGCAAGGGCATTCCTACCAAGACACAGTCTAAGTAGCCTCTTTCCTGTGTGTCTCTTTAAAAAGAGGGGGGGGGGCACTCTCCTGGGGGTGAACATTCCAGACTGAGAGAGAGAACCAGGAGCGGGTCCTGGGAGGGGAGGTTGCTTCTCCACTGAGGGATGAAGAGACTGAACCTGAACCAGCCTGTGCCTCTGGTCAATTCCCAGTTCCAGACGTTTCCAGGACGGTTGGGCTCACTGGTTGTCCGCTGCTGGACAAGGAAGAAGCGAGCTCTCTGTGGTGAAGCGAGCTCTCTGTGGTGTGTGCCACCTCGGCGACTGAACAGGCCACCCAGTCTCCAAGGCGCAGCTTAGGAAGCGTCAGGCCAGGGAACCTCTCTGTAGGATCACTGCCCCTTCCTAAGTCACCAAGGAGCGTCCTGCCGGACCGGGAGCCCCACAGAAGGAACCAGTGAGAGCTCCAAGTCAGCATGGGGCCCAGAGGTTGTGCCGGCCTCGGGGTGAGTCTGGAGAGGAGAGACGGGGGAGGTAAGCGGGGAGGGGTAGGCTCTCGGTGCTGACTCAGACCCAGGAATGCCGTCACTGCCGGGAGCCTGCTGGTCTCCTCAGGACTGCACAGGAAGCCGTCTTCTGGTGTTCTCCCCTAGTTTGCTCTCTGGAAACTGCGGACATTGCTCCACCGATACTCACTGGCAAGTGACACGGCCGTAACCTGGCAGGGCCTTGCGTAGGAAATCCAGGAGATGTGGCGCGTCAATGCCCAATTTGTACTGGGACTGGAATTCTTCCGGGGAGGCATCTTCTTACCCAGCGGGTGTCCCTTTCTGCTCATCCAGCAACCCCAAGGCTTCTGCTGACTTGTCAGAGCGCGTGGCCAGAGGGCTCCGTCATGTGAGCCACTGAGCCCGGGACAGGACCCTGCCCAAGCCTGCTGATTCTTCTCTGGCTGAGGCTTGCCTTGGCGGCTGCTTTATTCTCTGTAGGGGAGAAAAAGGAGGGAATCCCCGGGTGCCGACATAATTCCACAGACAACTCCCCCTCCCCCCAACACACACACACACACACACACACACAGGTCTTAGCTTTTTCGTTTGGATTGCCGTCCTAGGGCCTGAACCCCCACTCGCTCTGTGGCAGGTTCCTGAACAGCAGTTCACTGTAAAGTAACCCTCAGGAAGTTTCTGCTTCCCTTGCTCACTAATAATCAGCTCCCACTCCAGTCTGGAGTCAGCTCTAAGAACGAAGCCGCCAGCAGACATTTCTCAGCACTCGCTCAGCCGACTGAACCAATCTGTGCAGTCGTGACCTTCCAGACGCACCTCACCTTCCCTGGACCCCTCCTTTGTGCCCCTCCGATGGCCACCAAGCCCGGCTGTCCCTCAGCTGGCCTCTCCCCGGCCCCCGTGTCTCCGTCCTGCGGGCTGAGGCAGCAGACGTGGGCTCATCTCCTCGCCTGAGACCTGCTGCACCCTGGGCGGCCGAGTCATCCCCTAGGCAGAGTTCTTGGTTTCATCCACTCTTCCCCGCTTCCCAAATGCTCTCCACGAGCCTTCTCCCACTTTCATTCCCCGAGATCTGTCTCACTCCTGCCCCATCTCTCACCTCGTTTCACCCTCTCTTTAGGTAAATGCAGGCGGCTTTGGAAATTGGCACTGGAATACCAAAGGTTGAGAAAGCGCACAGTGAAATGGAGATGTTGGAAGCGTCCAGTCAGCCCACTGGGCGCTGTCACTGTGCAAGGAACAAGCTGGCTCGGGAGACTGTTCCATCGCGCTGGATGAGGCCCTGGAGGGCAGAGCGCTGAGAGAAGAGGGGAGAGGACTTTCCCTTTCTTCCCACGGCTGAGTCACGACGTCGATCATGAAGGGGAAGAAGTGGCCCCGTCCAGGCCCTGATGACCTCTGCCTTCTCCTTCTAGGTACTGGGAAGCTCTGGGAAAACATACACCTGTTTGGCCTCTTGTCATTACTGCTCATGCCCTGCATTTGCCTTCTCGGTTCTACGGAAGAGTGACAGCCTACTGGTGAGGAGGGGGAGGGCTCTTACCATCTGCAGGCCAATCAGGAGACAGTCTGATAGCCCTTGTGTCATGGTCTAAAAGTTGTACAAAATGGGAATTTCAGTGCATGTTGCAACACATAGTTTTTATTACCCTTAACTTCAGTTAATCATCTCAGGATGTAACCGCCGAAAATGTAATGTCATCTTTAGAACCACATCAGGTTCCTGTTTGTTTCATGTAAGAGGTCACGGATTAAACGCAGGGGAGAACAAGGTAATCACAGAGGCTGGCCTCTGTGATGTGCAACAGAAATAGGAACTTGATGATGGCCACGGTGCCTGTCCCCAACTCCAGCCATGAGGTGCGTCCTCTACCATGCCTGAGACAGCCTTCCACACAGGGTAAGAGTGCCTTCGCCTGTCCCATAAGCCTTTGCAAATTTTGTCAAAGCTCTGAGCATGGCGTAGGGCCAGGACATACTGCTTATTCCAAGAAGAAAGGCACTGAGGCTGGTGCTCTGGCGTAGCAGGTAAAGGTGCTGCCTGCAACATCAGCATCCTATCGGCACTGGTTCAAGTCCCGGCTGCACCTCTTCCACTCCAGCTTTCTGCTTATGGCCTGGGAAGGCAGTGGAGGGTGGCCTAGGTGCTTGGATCCCTACGCCCACATGGAAGAAGCTCCTGCCTTTGAGTTGGCCCAACTCCAGGCTTCATGGCCATTTGGGGAGTGAACCAGCAGATGGAAGACCTCTCTCTAACTCTGCCTTTCAAATAAGTAGATAAATCTTTAAAAAAAGGCACTATCTTTTTAAGATTTATTTTATTTATTTGAAAGACAGAGTTAAGAGAGAGGCAGAGAGAGAGAAAGAGAGGTCTTCCATCTGCTGGTTCACTCCCAGATGGCCACAACAGCCAGAGCTGTGCCAATCCAAAGCCAGGAGCTACTTCCAGGTCTCCCATTTGGGTGCAGGGTCCCAAGGACTTGGGCCATCTTCTACTGCCTTCCCAGGCCATACAGAAAGCCGAATCAGAAGTGGAGCAGCTGGGACTATAACTGGTGCCAATATGGGATGCCGGTGCTTCGGGCCAGGGCACTGTCCTTCTAAGAGCTGGTAGCTACTTTTTTGATAAAAGATTTTATTTATGGGGGCCAGCTCTGTGGTGTAGTAGGTAAAGCTGCCACTTGCAGTGCTGGCATCCCATATGGCTGCTGGTTCAAGTCCTGGCTGCTGCACTTCCAATCCAGCTCCCTGCTAATGTGCCTGGGAAAGCAGTAGAAGATGGCCCAAGTGCTTGGGCCCCTGCACCCGTGTTGGACACCTGGATGAAGCTCTGGTTCCTCGCTTTGGCCTGGCCCATCTCTGGCCATTTCAGCATCTGGGGAGTGAACAGCTGATGGAAGATGCTCTCTACCTCTGCCTCTCCTTCTCTGTAATTCTTTCACATAAATCTTAAAAAAAAAAAAAAAGTTTATTTGAATTAGAGATTTTCCACCCACTGATTCACTCCCCAAATGGCTGCAGTGGCTGGGACTGGGCCACACTGAAGTCAGGATCTTGGACTCCATCCAGGTCTCCCACGTGGGTGCAGGGGCCCGAGGACTTGGGCCATCTTCTGCTGCTTTCCCAGACACATTAGCAGGGAGCTGGATTGGAAGTGGAGCAGCCCCGAACTCCCAACTGGCAGGTAGCTACTTTGTAAATTTTGTCAAAGGGGAAAAAAATACTGGTGTCCACCCATTCTTCCCCTTTTCCTTATACTATGAACTTTTTTCTTAAGATTTATTTATTTATTTGAAAGTCAGGGTTATACAGAGAAGGAGGGTCAGAGAGAGGGAGGTCCTCCATCCACTGGTTCACTCCCCAAATGGCCACAATGGACTGAGCTGCGCCAATCCGAAGCCAGGAGCCAGGATCTTCCTCCTGGTCTCCCACGTGGGTGCAGGGGCCCAAGCACTTGGGCCATCCTCCACTGCTTTCCCAGGCCAGAGACGGCCTGGGAAATCAGCAGAGAGCTGGATCAGAAGTAGAGCAGCCGAGACTCGAACTGCTGCCTATATGGGATGCCGGAACTGCAGGCAGCAGCTTTACCTGCTAAGCCACAGTGCTGGCCACACCATTAACTTCTTAAACATCTCAGGAAGTGGGAGGCGAGTTGGACAATGTGTCCTTCAGAGGCCACATTCGTAGCTGCTGTGCCATAAGTTTATTTCACCCTAATATAGGATTTTGCCAGGGCCCCTTCAGGATCTAACGCTGTGTCCTGTGACTAGGATCCAGCAGTCACAGGTGGGGTGGTTAAGGGGGTAGCAGACTAGCCTCTGCGGACATGGCTGTCCTCGCAGGGTCACTGTCAGATGGAATGAAAGGCACTGCACCGCAGGGTTCCTCCAGCGACGGTTGGTGGCTGCTCCTGAGGGCAAGGCAGGAAGAAACAAGACCTAGGACTATGATGTGGAGCCCACCTGCCTGGCCCAAAGCAGAAGGCAGTCAGTCTGTCCTCTGGCGGCCAGGGAGACACACCTGTCGCCTCTTCCCGTCTGCAGGCTGCAGGCAGGGAGTGGAAGGCCCGGTAACGCGTGTGTCCCCGACAGGCAGGTGCCTGCTCCTCACAGGTCTGTATGTTCTGTCTTCCAGTGCAAGCATCTCTTGGCAATTTATCTTAGTCAGGTGATGGGGACCTGTCAGGAGTTGAGTGTCTCTGACAAGCAACTCACTGACATCTTGTTGATGGAGAAGAAACAAGAAGCCTCAGAAGTAGCGACTGAACATCAGTACCTTTAATAACGGAAGCGCCACTGAGAAATGCGTTTACCACGTCAGGACTCGCATGGGAGAGGTGACAGGACACGGATCTTCCCGAAGCTTCTTGTCGCCGTTCAGTCCCTCACGGACCACAGGCCAGGCTGTGGGTCAGCGCCATGGGCAGGGAGAGGGTGTGTATGGCTAGAAGCCCTAACAGTCTTGGCAGGAAAAACCTGAACCATCTTCTGAGCCCCTTGGGTAAAAAGTGACCCTGGATGGAATCAAGCATTGTAGACTCAAATAAAGCCCAATATTGCATCCACCATTCGATTCTTGAGTGACTGAATTACTAATTTTTTACAGATTGGATTGGTAGCCCAAAGTGAGTCAGGTGAGGTTTAAATTGGTAAGTGTTCATGTCGGCACTGTGGTGAAGAAAGTTAAGCCTCTGCCCACAGTACCAGCATGTTATGTGGGTGCCAGTTCAAGTCCCGGCTGCTCCACTTCCAATCCAGCTCCCTCCTTATCTGCCTGGGAAAGCAGCAGCAGATGGCCCAAGCCCCTGGGCCCCTGCACTAGCGTGGGAGACCCGATGAACCTCCTGGTCTCAGCCTGCCCAGCCCTGGACGTTGCGGCCACTTAGGGAGAGAAGCAGTGGATGGAAGACTACTCTCTGTCTCTCTCCTTTCTCTGTATGTCTGCCTTTCAAATAAATAATCTTTTAAAAAATTAATATTGCTGATTCTTTTCTTGGATCCAGAAAATTATTCTGCAGCAGTAAGACATGAGAACTAAGCAGCAGCAAGTATGGAAAGGCTCCAGGGTTCCTAGAGTGAGTAAGCCTCAGGTCTGGGGTGTTGGCGCCAAGCAGTGTAAATGGGCTGCAGGCTCAGTGAGGTCATGCCTAGAACAAAGCAAGAGCTGGTTTGCCCTGCAGGCGTTTTTGACTTTATAACAGGACAAATTAAGGAGCAGACCAAAAATCATGTCCTGGAAAGAAGCTCCAGATACTCCTAGAAATTTCCAGTCTGAAGAAGAAAAGATGGTGCCGGCACTGTGGCAAAGTGGGTAAAAGCTGCCACCTGCAGTGCCAGCATCCCATGTGGGCGCTGGCTCAAGTCCCAGCTGCTCCACTTCCACTTCAGCTCTCTGCTGTGGCCTAGGAAAGCAGTAGAAGATGGCTCAAGTCCTTGGGCACCTTCACCCACATGGGAGACCTGGAGGAAGCTCCTTGCTTGCTTTGGATTGGCACAGCTCCAGCGATTACAGCCATCTAGGGGGGTGAACCAGCGGAAGACCTCTCTCTCTGCCTCTCTGTACTCTGCCTTTCAAATAAGTAAATCTTTAAAAAAAAAAAAAAAAAAAGGAAGAAAAGACAAGGTAACGTTAGAAAGGGGAGAGAGGAGATACCACTGGACCCCAAGAGAACACTGAGAGACGAAGCTAGAAACAACTCAGGTTTCAGCAGAGAACCAGAACTTCTTACCAGGAAAGCTGTCCACAGCCAGGAGAGCCCCCTGGAGGGGGGGTTCCTAAGTCTGCAGTGTTCCAGCAGGGACAAACAGGAAATAGATGGCCTACAGCCTAGGCAGCCCCACTCGTGTCCCCAAACAGGAGGTGCTGGTGCGTGGAGGCTGAGGGAGAAGCCAAGGCCACAGATGGCACCTATCGAGACCTTCTGCTCCGTGGGGAACTTGGACTGAGCATAAATTTATTTCCTGAAAAAGCAGCTGCAGGGCCGGCGCCGCGGCTCACTAGGCTAATCCTCCGCCTAGCAGCGCTGGCACACCGGGTTCTAGTCCCGGTCGGGGCGCCGGATTCTGTCCCGGTTGCCCCTCTTCCAGGCCAGCTCTCTGCTGTGGCCCGGGAGTGCAGTGGAGGATGGCCCAAGTCCTTGGGCCCTGCACCCCATGGGAGACCAGGAAAAGCACCTGGCTCCTGGCTCCTGCCATCGGACCAGCGCGGTGCGCTGGCCGCAGCGCGCTGGCCGCGGCGGCCATTGGAGGGTGAACCAACTGCAAAAGGAAGACCTTTCTCTCTGTCTCTCTCTCTCACTGTCCACTCTGCCTGTCAAAAAAAAAAAAAAAAAAAAAGCAGCTGCAGACTCAGGTGTAGAGGTAGATGCAGCTCTGTTACAAGCCAGTGCCGTACCCTAAGCTTGTTTTTATTATTTTATTTTTATTTCACTTAATATACACACACAGATAATTTTACTAAGTAAGATTTTCACACTGTGGGTTCCAGCAGCTTGGCCAAACCTGAACTTGGGAGAAAAGCAAATTTCACCGCCTAGCCCCAAGAAGAGGGAAGCCGGTAGGGGAAGGAGCCCATCTCTCCAGACTCTTCTTCTGGGGTAGCTTTCGGTATTCAGAAGAGATTAGCACTTAAAATCGCTCCCTGATGATAATTCTGCTAAGAATTTACGAGCCTATCATTTCCCCAAATCAACACAGTGGTTTCCTGGTTGAAGAGTTAAACTTTTACTTTTCCTGGTTGTCTTCCAAGGAACAAGCATACATTTTTAGTACCACCAAACTTTTCTTTTTCCATTCTCTAAGTTAAAAACATTTGCAGTATAGGAGTTCACAGTGTTTCACAGTAAAAACAGTTCGTCATTTTCTACCACAAACGAGGCAGATGCTTACAATACAGAGCAGTCTTTCAGAACCTCTCCAAGTCAATGGTATCAACCACACGACAGGAGCAACGAAACACAAGCATAAATATTCTCGGCCGTGTCCACCTTTGGAGCCCGCTAACAGCACGCTCGTCCTAGGTGGGCATGTGGAACTCCAGGAGATCAGCCAGTCGTCTCCTGTCCTGTTGTTTGTTGTGAGTCTGTGCCTTCTTCTCCAAGAGGCCGCAGCCTGGGTCATAGGCCCATGCTGAGAACAGGCTGGGCTCCGCTCTGCCCATTCCCACTCTTGACATCCGTCTGGCAGAGAACATACCTGGAGATGATTTTGTGAAAAGTTTCCCGGAAGTCTCGGTTCCGGTAGGCATACACGATGGGGTTGACGACTGAATTGGCGTGGGACAGGAGAATGGCCGTGTTCATGGCCCACTTGGGCTTATCCTTGGCCTGAGCCGGCTGAAAAAGAGTGACGCAGTTGATGGCATGGACCGGCAGCCAGCACAGGGCAAAGATCCCCACGATCATGGCCAGCGACTTGGCCGCGTGGATCTCCCGCTGAAGGGTGGTCCTCGAGTGGTCCATGAGCTCGGTGCGCTGGAGCTGCCTGCAGGCCACCAGGAAGATCTTGATGTAGATGGCCAGCATGATGAGCAGCGGGGGCAGGACGCACCCAAAGAAGTTGAAATAGACCATGTAGCTCATGGGGACCACGTTCTCAAACAGACACTTGACGAGGCAGCAGCTTTCGTTTGTGGTTCCATCCCGCGGCTCCGTGCAGTTGGCAGTGGCACTGTCCTTGCTGTTCCACCCCAGGAATGGAGTCAGTCCAATGCCAAAGGCAAGGACCCAGAGGACAGCAATGACTCCTCTGGCTCGGGTCCCAGTGACCAAACTCTTGTACCTGTTGAGAAGAACATCACACGTTACGGTCGGGCTGCCGTGCAGTCAGGAGCGCTCTGCCACCCAAGTGCGGGAGCCCACCTCCGCTGTGGTCCCGGGGCCCTTCAGCCCCAGTGGCCGCTCCCTGGCACCAGGGCCTGACCCTCACCACTGGGGATGTGCGAGCAGGTGCAGGCAGCTGTGTGCAAACAGCTCAGTGAG